ACTTTTGTGGTTTCAAAAGTCTAGAGAGAAGAGGGTAAAGTTTGATGATGGGAATACTAGTTATTTCCATGCTCAAACCCTTTTTCGGAGAAGAAGAAACAAGATTCGGGACTTATTTCTACCAGATGGCACATGGCATACAAATCTAGATGTCCTTAATAATGAAGGTTTTCGCTTCTATCATGAGCTTTTTAGGAAGAAATCACCTGGTGTTTTTGTGGACATGCATATGTGTTCCTCTAGTTTTAGGAGAAGAGGTTGTAGCCACCCTCTTGGCTCTAGTATCTAAAGAAAAGGTTAGAAGAGCTGTTATGAGCATGAAATTCTTTAAGGCGCTTAGGCCAGACGAATTTCAACCTTTCTTTTATAAACAATACTAGCACATTGTGGGTGACGAACTTTGGAGGATGGTGCGTGATGCATTTCTGCATGGCTTCTTAAATGGATCTCTTATTGAAATGTCAATAGTGCTCATCCCAAAGATAGACAGTTCGTCTAACCTTAAAGACTTTCACCCAATCAGTTTGTGTAATATGGCATATAAGGTTATATCGAAAGTGATAGTAGCACGACTATGTCCTGACCTCCATGATATTATTGGACCTTTCCAAGGAAGTCTCATACTAGGGAGAGGAACACTTGATAATAGTATCCTTGCACAAGAGACTCTCCATTTTATATCCAAGGATAAAACTGCTATAGGAACTATGGCATTGAAAATTGACCTCGAGAAGGCGTATGATAAAGTGAGTTAGAATTTTCTTCAAGCTACCCTACATAGATTTGATTTTCCTGCTTGTATCATCCAATTGATCATGCAAGGAGTTGAGAACTCTGTGTTGTTAGTACTTTGGAATGGAGGAAAGTTGCAACCCTTTCAACCTTCTTGGGGTCTTAGGTAAGGGGATCCTCTCTCCTTGTATCTTTTCATGCTTTGCATAGAAAGATTTGTTCTTCGCATGAGCTAAATAAATAAATTTGGACAAATTTTGAAAAAAAATTAGAACAAATTTATTATTATCAATTAGATTAACTACTTTTCTTAATCTTGGTGAATTAGGTATTTGAGTTTTATATATAAGGAATGTAGGTAGTATTATATTTATAATGACATTGTTTTAAAATATATATTATAAAATATATTTTAATTTAAATTTTATATCTCTTTTATTTCATAATTTAACTTTATATATGTTAATATTGAAATACCGAATTAAAACATTAGATTGATTTGGTCTCATTCCATATATTACAAGTCTTGATTGAGTCAAGATCGAGTCGAGCTTGAGTTTAAATAAATAATTCGATCAATTTTTTTTTGGATAAGTTAGGACGAGGCTAAACTCATCAAATTCATCCTTTATTCAATCTTAAAAGAAACATTATGAAAATAAGGATAAGGACAAAGTTTCTTAAAAAGTAATAAATACAAAATCATAATATTGTATGAATTTATGTACGTGTATTATTGCTCATTTATTTTATTTTTTGTTTGGAATATAAAAAAGATAATGACGTAATTTTGAAATACGAATTGATGTTGAAAATCCATGAAATAAGATTTAAATTAAATTTTAAACACTCTTTTATGAAATGTTGAGAAGATATTACCTAATACAAAAAATTTATTCTTATGTCATATAATTTTTAATTAATCATTATATAACATATAATTAAGTGTTATAATTTTTTATCAATTAAAAAAAAATAAGTATGTGTTTTAGAAATTAACTAGACAATGAACATTTTCTTTAATCAATGAGAATACTAAATAAATTTACAACATGTTACACATTCTACTCAATCAACTATGCTAATTCTTTCATAACACAAATATTTGATAATTTTTCTAATAATTTTTCCTTTTAACATACTCTTTTATATGAGAATTTTGTTGGCCACTAAAGATCCCTTACTTTGATGCAGGTAGTGCAATGGGTGAACATAGCAGAAAAATATTAAGGGTGGATGACAAGTGTGACAAGTCCACTATCCAAATAAACCAAAGTCCCACGGCACCTCTTCCAAGTGGCATCCCCACATACACAGTTGAGATAATGAACACGTGTGTGAATGGATGCAACATCTCTCAAATTCACGTTAACTGTGACATGTTCAGTTCTGCAATTCTCATCAACCGTAAAATCTTCAGAAGACTTCGTTACAGTGACTGTCTCGTTAATAATGGCATGCCATTGCGTAATGGAGCTATTATTTCCTTTAAATATGCCACTACTTTCCCTTATGCCCTCTCCGTTTCCTCTGTGCTCTGTAGCTGAAACAATAATGATTGTAAATTTTTAGAATAAATACATTCAAATGAATATATATATATATATATA